GGGGGGGGGAGAGAAGCAACACTGGAGCTGAGCTGCTGAGGGAAATACTGAGCTTCAAATAGCCACCACACACTCAGAATAGTCATTTAAATAAATTGGTTTGTTAGTAAAGATTTCATTCTAAAGGTGTCTTTGTTTATTTCAGATTTAGGCAAAAGATTCTGCTTTTCTGAGATGAAAAAAGGTCAGAAAGACACAAAACAACCACAAAGTGTCTGATGCTGTACTAAGTGATAAAACACAATTACAAAACAGAATAAAAGGAGTTCAACAGAATCACAGGAGGATGCAAAACTACATATAAAGAAACCCACATGGCTACCGAGACTTTAAACAACTGCAAAGCTAAATAAATACATAGCCTGCAAACAGATGCAACATGGCAACCAAGGGATGCTAAATGACCACAAAGCTGTTTTTCCTATCAGTGTGCATGCTGCCTTTAATGTCAGGTCTGGAAGCAGCGTCCCCTCTCTGACTGCAGCCCGAGTGGGTCATGCAATAATCTGAGTAAGTGAGTGTGAGTCACGCAGAAGCTCTCCACTCAGAAGGCCGTGCTCAGACACACACGGAGCCCGCATCATCCATAAACAATGACCTGGAGCTGTCTCTCCCTGTGGACACAGCGTCTGTGTGAGGAGAAAACAGCCCTCACAGAAAGACTTCAAACATCATCACTCCCCGGGTAAATACTGCGAGGAGATCTCATCTCCACCGGCTGCACTGTGGTCAACCTTAAATCAGGCACACTGCAAACTCAGCGATGCAAACCTCACATAGCATGACTGTCAGGATGCATCTTACACATGCAACACAGACACGCTAAACTGCGTGCTGTGTGTTCTGCTGACCCCCAGCCTGGAGACATAAACACATTGTCTGCCTTAAGAAATCCTGGTTAGCCATCACAGGAGAGATCAAACTCCTCTCTGATTTCCAGAGTCAACATGAGAAGCTAAGAGAAAGAAGGACAGAGGACGCCCTCCTCGTCTTGCGTGGGGGTACAGACTGATTTCTCCGTGGCTCGGGAGAATGAGAAATGACACGGTTTCCCCAAAACCTCATCGGCCCGTTCTGGATTAGTGCAGGCTGTTATTCTTATCTGCACCCTTTTTGCTACAGCACCTCATTATGAAGCGAGGTGCCAAGGCCTCATGCGGGGGAGATATTCAGCGCTGGTGTGACAAGAAGCTGCAAACACTGTGATGTAAGAACTTCACTTAAATCCAATCACCAGACATGTTGTAGCGCGTGCACCGCTGAACAGGAGGTGTCTGATGTTTGAGGAATATAACGCAAAGAGAAGCATCGTGTGTGGCACCGCTGCAACGTGTGCTGAATCTAAAACAGAACGATTTCCTCTGACCTTCATCGTTTAATTAATTTCAGGCGGGTCAACATGCTACTCTAAATCAATTCCACTGTTTTCCACTCATCTGAATTAGTGCACTGATCACCTCTCATACAGACAGGTGCAGAAGGAGGAAGCTCTCTCACACACACACACACACACACACGGATTATCCGCAACACAGGATCATATAGGAGTCACATCAAGAGGCACTCCTCTTCCTCTCCACCACAATCAGCTTAAAGGACTTCTCATTTCAGACGCTAAGAGCCTTTCAGCAAGGACACACTAAGTGACATTATGCTCCCTGACCTGGAGGGTCAAGCAAGGAGGAGACAGACACAGTTAACAGGAAGCTAAGCTACTGCTACTTGTTGGTACACTAGCAGCATGAGAAAGTCCTTACAGTTACAGAGGAAATTTGACTTCAAGTTTAAATTAGTAGAAAGCCAACGCTGCGTTGACTTGCTCCTCATATTATCCGTGCAAGCTAAACCATAACATACCGTACTTGGTCGTGGTGAATATGTCTGCAGTGTGATACTCGCCAAAAACAGAACTAATGCATCGCTAACATTTCTCTGCTGCAGCAAGCAAGACACAACATGCATTCAAACGTCCTGACTGTGGTTGGGACATGAGTTTCAAGTTGACACTGGTTTATCCTACGCTTTTATGATTCAAAGCAACTCATTTTCTGTCTCAAATTAAAGCTGCTGCTCTGTGGTTTATCATGTAGATGATGCCTCTCTACATGTTTAATTGTTCCAGAATTACTGAGCTAGACTCGCGTGGAGCGCCACACGCCGTGCACACCAGATATCTGCGTCAAAATGATTCAGATTAAAACTAAATTAAATACCGGATTGGGCGAAAAAAGGACACCAGCTAGATATATTATTATCCATCTATATTTCTCAAATCACTAGTCCTGAACCTTTTTAATAATACAGTAAAACCAATTGCACAAAGAATGATAAACCACATGAATAATGTCTCTCAAATCAACAAATCTCCTGAGGACAGTCACATTCATTTGTCAATGAATTACACCAGGAGCATCTTTCTGAGTAAAAAGTTCAGCATGGTCATCATCAGTTGCAATCTTTTTGGTCTACTTGGCTACTTCCAAGAACACTGAAATTGGTACACAAAAGAAAAAAATCGATAATCAAGTGATTGATCTAAATTCAGGTTGGACCAGACTTTGATGAAGTTTTAAATGTCACAAAGGATTAAACCTGGTAAGTATTGTACGGTGTCCGACAGGCGTTACAACAGCCCAAAACAAAAGTGTGCCAAACGCATGCAAATGAAGAAACATCTTCACCAACTTGACGACACATGCACACCGTTTACTAAAAGCACTGCATATATGAAACGCTGCAAGAAGCTCAAAACACAACGGAAACCAGGGGACACCAAGTGATGCCGGAGCTGGGACCGCAGCGCTTGTTGACATTCAGCAATTATAAAGTTGGACATAATATCGGAAAAAATCATGTGATCACTATGAGCCAATAAACTTACATTTTAAGGGGAACTTTATAATCCCTGAACGTCAACAAGAGCACGTTGTGCATGTGTTGTGAAGTACGTTAAGATGTTTCTTCATGTGCGTGTGTTTTGGCACATTTGTGTTTTTAAATTTGCATCGTGTCTGAAGCTGCAGTGCATTTCTCCTAATAGAAATGTGTTGGGCCGTTGGGCCACCCTATAATGCAAAGTGCTGATGTTCCAACTTCTAACGCATTTTGCTTTTGTGCTCAATCATGAACATTAACTTCAATCTGTGCATGAATACAGACTAAGTAATAGAGAATCAGGGTGGCCATAAATCACCGGAGCAGCCGGAGCGTCTTCAGACATGTTTACGTGCGGCTGCTGACATCAGCAGCTGTGGACAGAGTGTACCGCTATGTTTTATTCAGCGAGTCCCAGAACATGCTGCTGCAGGAGAAGGGGGGGCAGTCAGGAGCAGCATGGGGGGCATCTTATTGGAGGGGGACAGACATAAATGTAGGGTAAGGAGAAGACGAGACATAACCACATACCTGAGGAAATTCAAACCAGTGCAGAAAAGTGGAATAAAGCATCAACTACATCGCCAAGTAAAGCATCAAAAGAATATCCACTTTCAGCTGGGAAACCTTAGCACTTTTGGAAAAAATAAAAGGTTTAGAGTGTGGACTAGTTAGCTAGCAAACAATAGGAAAATGACAGTTAGCTAGCTCGTAATCGATCATTTGAAATGTATAAGCAAAATAGTTGAATTAGTCGTAACTAGAAGAAAGCAAAATAGTTGGCAAGGAAATGATTGAAATCATAGAGAAAGAAACAAACTGTTGACCGATAAACAGTTGAAATAGTAGTGTAGTATAAAACCATAATTTAACTGGCAACACAAATGTTTTAAGGCTCAATATCTAAACCGCACTGATCTTCAACACTAACTTTATGCAAATAAATTGTTTATGGGAATGTTTTTGAATTGACTGACACTGCACAATGATTTAAACATAAATGTATCGCTTCAAAATGGCATCCTTTCATCTATTTGCGTAGTGCAATTTGTTTTGTATTAGCTTCTCAAATAACAATATTTGAATGACATTACATAAAGGCAGAACAGGTGGCAGAATGCAGAGGAAAAGAGAGCTGAGCAGATGTCAACACGTTATTACCACATGACGAACAGAGCCATCACTCAGATTGATCTGGTGTCCTCTTCACAGTGAGAGCTATTCTGTTCTTCATGTTGTTAGCAGTCAGAAGTCAGAGAGATTTCACAGCACCAGTCAGAGAAAGCCTCTCACCCTGTTTCACTGCAGCATCTAAGGAACAATGTGTTTGCATGATGAGGGGCTTCAACATGCACGATAACATCTCTAATCAATATGGCGGACGCTTTAAAGTGCAGGAAAGGATTCTAGGCGTGACTTGGGTCACATTCGGGGATCACTTCAAAGGCATAAAGAAACAACTGGAAAGAGGCAAAAAGAAATTCTCTATATCTGACTGCTTCCTGCAAGACGCTGCATTCAAAAAAAAGTTAGCATTTCTAAAAGTTTAAATCTTCAAAAAGCGTATATGGTGGAGATGTGTTCAAAAAGCATGCATAGAGCACGAGCTGCAAACAAAAGCACCACCGATGATCCATCAGGCACGAGTAGAAATGTTGTTTCAAAGGGACCGTCGGAGTGATCTTGCATATTTCTTTAGGGTGCTTGAACTAAACACAGGACAGAAACATGTTCTGCGTGCAGAGGAAAATATAATCCGTTCACAAAGCTGCGTTTGCCCTTCAACTTATTTATTGATGTACTGAACATGGAAAAACTCCAAAGTATCCAAACACAAAGTAAATAACATGTACATCCTCTTAAATACTCAACAAAAAGAGATTCTATTCCAGAAAAAAATGACGTGAACAAAGCCAGACTATACAACTCCAAATAAATAATCATTCTTATAGTAAGAATTGAGATAAGAGATGTGGTGGGGGGGGGGACTGAGCTCATGCTGGACCCTCTGCACAATCAAACGATCAGGAAGATTACAAAAAGAAATGTCCAAAAGCGAGGGTCCGGCATGACTCAGCAGATCTGCCCCCGTCACAAGTCCTTCATAGAAACACAGAGGAATAGAAAAGCAGCTGCAGATACTAATTAGAATAATGCATAGCACACTGCTCAGTAAGGGGGGGTGTGGTGTTCAGACAACTCCCCACGTGAATAAAGCAATATACTCCAAAGACAGGTTATATGCATATATATGAATATGAAAACAAAAAAGTGGTTTATATCCATTCTTTACCACATAAATATATATCTATAATGTTTATATATAAAAAAACAAAAACATGTCTATAGTTGTCTTTTTTTCTTTTACTATCTACGACAGATTTTAAATCAAAAGTTCAACTGTGAGTAAGTCAATATCTCAAATTAAAATACCTTACATACTCCATAATAGAAAAAGAAAAGATATCTATAATGTCACACTTTCCGATGAGGTCCAAACTAAAATAATACTGATAAACAGATAAACATAAAAAGGACTTATTTACAAAGTAATCCTCCGCCCTGTCCCCAGACCGGCTGCTGCCTTCACTGGCTTCATGTAAAACCCCCTGTCAGTGGTGATGTTTTCAGAGGCAGAAGCTGCAGCCTCAGATGCATCTGAAGGGATCCGTTATGAAGAACTCAACCCACCTTTAAGATACCTCCACGTTATAATTTAGCATGCACTTTTTCCTCAGCATTTTTGTCCAAATGGATTCAAAGGTGCCGGTCGTGTAAGATTTTACAAACCAGCCCAGCTATCGATCCTATAATCTAAAGATAATACAAAGATCTCAAAAGGTTTGTGGTTTTTTTTTACATCATAAATCTCCCCAGAAATGTCAACCTCTGCAAACTTTCCTGTAAAGTTCAAAAGCTCACAATATGAAGATATTTCTCAAAGTCAAAATATTTTGTTCCAGGTCCAGTAAAAAGTGTCTCCAAATTGTTCTTTTTATAAAAATAGATGCATTTTAAACCCACATCAAAGAGGTTCTTAGCTCTTTGGCAAGGTACTGCTTTAAGAAGTGTGTTTTTTGTCTTTTTATCTATTAAGTTTACAACATTATGCAGCCGACCGATAACAACTCAAATTACAATGAACAGAATACTTACAAAAATAGTTCAACAGAAGAACTGCTAACCACTGAAGGCAAAACGCACCTGAAGGCAACTCAGGACACAAATACAAAATAAATCACAATGCTGAACTTTACGAGACTTAATGTGCAACAAAAAGACAAACCCACCGTCCTCCTGTGAGTCTCAGCTCACACCTCAAGGTTTTTTTTTAAAGAATATTAAGATTCAAAGCGTAGCCAAAAAAAGAAAAAAAAGAAATCACAAATGGACGCTAAATTTCCTTTCGTAACACTGATTTACAAAGCTGTGTTTACTAATGTAGAAAGTGAATCTTCCCGTTCCCATGGTAACACACTTGAGGGTTTAGGCTTTGTGTGTTTTGTTGGTTTTGAACGAGACTTGCAGCACTCTGTCCCCGAGGCGGTATCCGTTCAGGCTGGCGATGGCCACGGCGGCCTCGTCGTAGTTAGTCATGGTGACAAAACCAAATCCTTTACACCTGTTTGAGTTGAATTCACGGGTCGCCATCACCTTGGTGACCTCTCCGAACGGGCTGAACATCTGCCACAGGAGGCTCTCGTCTGCGTCCCACGCCAGGTTGTACACAAAGATGCACCACCCGGTCCCAGCGTGGCCTGGGAGGTTGATGCCCGCCAGGCTGGTGACGCCGTCGATAGCCATCGGGGAGAACCTGCTGTGAGACAGAGAGAGACGCAGAGACTCAGCGAGGACACAAACAGCTCTGAAGACAGCAGAGGACAGGAGACAGAGGGACGGTCCTGCAGAGCACACTCCTCTGGGGGAACTCACTAAAGAATGCACTGACAGCGCCAACTGTCATATCTGCACATATTTTAAAAAACTGCGGAGCCCTCAGAAGATACAAACTTCTTTCATTTCCCTGTGCAAAAAAAGTGCTTGATGAGCAGGTTTGTGCTGGTATACAGGATCTTTGCTGCTAGTGACCGGACATCATCACTTCTTAGTGAATTCACCCTCAGTGTTAACACCTTACTTCTCATCAATTAGACGTGCAAGTGATTCTTTTATAAGTAATCATACAGACTGCAGAGGATGCACGGACGCTAAACTAACAGCTCTAAGAGCATCTGCCATATCTGTGAAAAACGAGCCTCCTTGCAAAAACAGTTGCAGTAACAGTTATGTCATGACAATAAATGAATGAAGCTCCTGTGCACCAATATCCTAATGACTTCTTCCCTCACAAATGAGACTTTATAAAACTTGACTACCATGTGCCACATTCCCTTCTTCCTTAGTTAGATGAACAGGATCAGTATGTTTGCAGTGATGTACAGACAGCAGAACACACAGAGGCATTTATTCAGAACCAGACACAGGAAGAACGTGTCAGGTGCCAGTCGGCCGTTGTGCCAACAGTGGGATGAAAAGCTTTTGGGGAATGTGGTTTCTACAGTCAGGAGAAAGTGATTGCATGGAGCCTATAAATTATTGCCGCAGGTGTCGGAGGAGATTAGCTGCTCCACTAGGCTTCACGGGAACATGCAGCCTGACAGGTGTGCTGCAGCAGCGAGGACGCACACACACGTCATGGAAATCACCAACCATTGTCGCGCTTTGAGCTCTCAGCGGATTGGACTTCAATCAAACTCGCTCTCACAGAGTGAGCTGAGTCAAACTGGCATCCTCAAGAATCCTGCAGACGTCTGATGCAACAAAGTTTAAAACAGGACGGCGCTGTCCATATTAGATCAAGGCCTTCAGCCGAGCTAGAAACACAAGTGTGCAATTTTGTGCAATAGCAAGAAAGACACAGTGAAATTCTGTCTGTTGTCGTGTCGACACAGAGGGCACTTTAATCCTGACATGTTGCCACGTCGTGTCAAGATTAAAACACCTCACCGTCCTCTTCTCAGACAGCAACGTACAATCATTCTCTAAAATCACACATCTTGGTTCAATGACCTCTGATCAGATTAACAGGATCAGTATGTTTGCATGAGGTCATTTTCTGTTAGTATTTATCAGACACTTTCTAACATCTGAATAAATAATGTTTCTTGTCTATATCCTGCAGCATGGTGGCGCATACCCATAATGCCAATGGGCCTGTTGTGTGTTGATTTTCCTCCATGCTTGCTTAAACAAACAAGGATGTAAACAAAATGCTTTGCAAGTATGCATGCACCTGTAAAGATGCAGCTCGGCTGTTCCTGTGGACATATGTAGGCCTCAGCCTGATGACATTAAGTAGGCTACTTTCTAATGAACATTTAAGTGTTTCCTGCACTAAGACTTAACCTGTGCTCATGCTGAGTCAGAAGCGTTTATCGTTATGGACAGGCACACTCGACAAGACTCTATAACTGCAATAAGGGTAATTGCACACAAACATACATTAAAAACTCAACAGCAATAGCTTCTGCATAAAACTGCAGGTGGTTTACCTCGAGTAACGGGGGCTTACACATACAAAGAAACATTGCTATGCATGTTGTGTGGTGATTTATTTAGTAAAGCATAAGCAGCACAGGTAGGAGGAATCCATTACTGTATTGGGGTGAACTGTCCCCAATACCAGGGGTCCGGGGTAAGGAGGCTCTATCCTGCTCATGTTTAGGTTGATATTAGGAGACAAACTCCCTCCGGAGGGAACTTTGCAGACCATTTAAATGCACAAATAGAACACACTACAGATGAGGGAACAGTCCGAAAAGCAGAAAAGAGCCTGTTTAAAGTGAGGACACAGGAGCAGCTCATCTTATTGTCTCTTCCTGCTCTAACATGCACTCATGTTCCTCTGTATCATATTGAATATTTACATTGCAGTGTTAGCTTTGATCATATTGAATCACAGAGAGAGTTATCCCTCATGCGGTCTCTGAACCTCCCTCAGGATCAATTAAAGAACATCTATTTACCTCTTCACTCCGTACGCCATGTTCAGCAGATTGTCCAACCTAGGGCAAACACACATTCATTTCAATATTAAGAAAGACTTTCAATGATTATTACAGGATGACAGATGAGTAATGTGCCTGATATAAAGAATCCATGTCTCCATTAACCTCTTTACTGAACATCAATATCAGCTTAGTCTTACTTTAAAATTAAAAAAAATGCTACCCAATTTAATTTGAATAACGTGCTTGCTTTATTTTTAGCTGCACTTTACTTTTGCTGTTGTAATGCTGTAAAGTTCTCTGCTGCAGGACAAATAATCTGACTCTACTACATGGAAATATGCAATTTTCACCACTGATTTCCTGCACTGAGAGGCAAACTCACCCAAAACACATTTTGAGATAAATGCTTTTTTGGAAAGGGGAGAAAGATTTCCAATGATATCTTTCCCATATGTATTCTGCAAGTACTCAGCACAATATGTCACAAAACCCAAGTGTTTCACATAAATCCATGATTGAGTGAACCGTTAGCGACTTTTGACTGATTTCAATAGAGCTGGTCACATTAATGTTCACTAACTTGAGCTCTACAGCAGGAGAAGCACAGCAAAGACTTCAATGTTATTGTCTTTACCTGAAGCGCTGTGCCTGATGGGCCAAGGGTCCGGGGTACCTGCGGTTGGGGGACTGGTATAGCTGGCTCAGCAGCGCCTGGCTCGTCTTCTGGCTTGGGTTGTTGGCGAACTTCACTGTGATGGGCTCTGCAGCCCCGGGGGGCTTCTGACAGTTCAGACCCTTGATGGCCTCCTCGGCCTCTACACGCCGGTCAAAACGGATGAATCCCACCCCTCTGGACACGCCTGAGGAGAAAAACATCCACACAACTTCATTCACACCAGCCATGACGACATGCCGCAGGGGACATTTACAAAAACATTTATTTCACCCTGATCTGGAGTGTTTTCCCAAAACGTTCTGAAAACATGTGGAAAGGCTGCACAAGGAGACAGAGTGTAATAGTGAGCTTCAACAGCTAGAATACATGAACACAATGATTGTTGCTGTATTAGCTGACTGTGAGGTATCGGGCAGCTTGATGTGGGGAAAAGTCATATTGCGGTTATTGTGGACACTTGATCCTGAACAACATTAGCGCTAATGTCTGTTGTGATGGTGACAGACGCTCCCCAAACAGTTCAGCCCATTCCTGTTCATCGTATGCCTCCCCGGCTCTAGGGCGCTTCCACTATGCTGTACAATGTGTTGGCACTACCAGTTCATAGCATCCCTTTCCACTAGTCTCTGTTCTAACACGGCACAGGTTGCATTACCTAAACAGAGACTCATGTTTCAGCAGGGTGTGCGTGCATAATGATTAGACTGCACATGAAACACATATGTTGTCACCATCGCACCCTACTTAAACTCTTTCACAGCATTTTGAGCTTATACAATCGCAGAGGCTAAAACCGTGCAGCCCTATTAAGTTATACGAGTTATAAAATCAGGGTGAACACCTCGAGTGGAGAATTGTATTTTTGGGGCGTCACACAACCTGAACCTCCAAACCAGGCTGTGACAGGGTGTGTGGGGAGAGAGGAGATGGGGGGGTACTCACTGGTCACCGGGTCCACCAGGATGTGTGAGTTAATGATACGTCCAAACTGAGAGAACAGCTGCTCCAGCTCCTTCTTAGTCATCGTCCTTGGCAAATTTCTGACACACAGCTTAGCGTGTCTGATTGAGGCTGAGCTTGGGCGCGCGTACGCCACCTGCAGAGAGCAATGATGCACATTAAACACAATATAAACATCTCTCGTTTCAGAATCAGAGCAGATGCTGTGACCCATTTCTAACAGACAGCCTTCAAACACTGCCTTTCTCTTTATGACTCGTTATGCATGTGCATGCGCTAATGCAACCTACGTTGAACTTTAAATGATTTGTATTAAAAAACAGGCTGCTTAACAGGGTTATTGTTGTTTGACTAATACAGACATGTTCCAAATCTCTACTCTCCTAGAGTCAGGTTTGGCTAAATGAAAGGTCTAGATGGGGGTTAGCTCCAGGTATTGAACTTGAGGCAAACATGTTTTTGAAACTGAGACTCGTGGATGGATAGTGAAGCGTAAAACATGGAGTTCCTGCAAACAAAAGGGTCCGATTGGTTTGTTTCTAATAAACTGCACAACAATGTAACTTGCAGAAATAAAGCTGAAGTAAAATGTGCTCGCTGTTCCTAAAACACAATGACTAAATGTTGACAGGTAAAAGCTCTTACACCTAACATTCATCCTGCAGCGCTGCATCACTCCAAAATCCAAGTCAATGACCGCTTGCCATTATATTTTGGCAATTTGCGTGAAATAAGTTTAACGATATAAAACCCGTCAGGAAATACCCCACTGGTGATTATACAGACGAGTTGCTAACAAGTGTCTAAATGAGGCGACTTAACGCCTTCACGCCTAACATTGGCCGCCATTAGCTTAAAGCTGGTGACGTGAAGTCACGTGACCGTGCTTCAGTTCATTTATTATCTAATGTTAGCTTTGAATTCAAAACACAGAAATACCATATCTCTGCAGCTCTGTATTGATACGTCATGTAAATGGGACAGTGAGGAATGAGTGTCTCCGTGTGTAGCGGCATGTCTGTTTCTGCAGAACAGATTTCAGAGAGAGGAATACATGAATGATACACAACTTCTCACCTTGATGGTTTTGGTCTGGAGTCTCAAGCCGTTTAAGGTGTTTAAGGCTTTCTCTGCGTCCTTCGGGTCCACGTAGTTCACAAACCCGAAGCCGCGGCTCTGCCCTGCAACACAAAGTAAAACAGGAAGCGTCACACTGATGAACAAAAACCCCCAACAAAATAAATATATATATAACAAATGAATATGGACACAACTGCCTTTATCAAATCATGGTGAAGTGCATCAATCCTCCACCAGAAGGACAGCTAGCGAGGCGTATTTGTTTTCTTTTGGAAGCAGAGTATAATCTACAGGAAGAGGAGTTAGACATTATAGCGAAAAGTTTCTGGATCATCAGAAAAGATTCCAGTGCGGTCAAGTTCAGCAGCTCAAGCTGCTTCAGCATATTAATACAGCACAGAGGAAACTCGTGATACAAACTTGATATGAAAGGAAATCTGGGTCAGATTCACATCAAGGCATGTCCAGAGATCAGATNATCTTCCTGGTCGAATGCACTTATTGTAAGTCGCTTTGGATAAAAGCGTCAGCTAAATGCAATGTAATGTAATGTAATGTAAAGATCAAGGTGCAAACATGCCAATCACTCCCAAACATTTGAACTACTTTCTCTTTATATCAAAAAGAAGAACAATGTGCTTCTTGAGGGGTGTTCAAGTGTCCAAATATGTTAATAAGAATTAAAACCGTGAAGCAGAACAAATGTATATATCGTTTTTTCTAAGGTCATTACTTCAGTGCTTTTAGTAAAG